CATCTTTGTACACATTTCTGTGTGCAGAACACACAGAAAACAGAGTTGTTTTAATGATGAGGTATCCTAATGTGATGAATTCACTTTTCAATAGAACCTGATTTTTTTTTTTTTTGTCATCCTTGAACAATCTTAAATGTATTTCAGGTATTAAATGCTTAAATGTATTGCAGGTATTGATCTGGGATGACTTTTTTTTGTGAAATAAAAGTACTAAAAACAGCTGGTCATTTTGTACACAGAAATCTGTTATTTGGTAACAGCTTTTAATAAAACATGATAAAGAAAAGAAAGTATGAATTCAAACCTGTCTGGTCATAGCTAAAAAGCTAATGCCTGCATAGTAATTGCAAATCCTTAAAAACAGATTATCTTTGTGGATGTTATATTGCAGTGCATGATGTTATTGAAGAAAGAAATGATTTGTAAACAACCTTTGGCAGTAGACAGAGAACTTAATTTTGTTCAAACGAGAGAGATCAACATTAAAATTCATGTGCTGTATCAAGACTGGCAAGCAGTAGCAGCTACTCTGACGTATGCACTAGAGCATTCATGATTGCCTAAGTGTTAAGTGCTCTGTGAAAAATATAAATATGGCAGAAAAAGTAATAAAGTTTGGGGAGGCTGCTGTAGTAATTCACTAAAGGTAAATCTTTTTACCAGTTGTTGCGTTTGATGAATATGTACGAATGATCCAACTGCTGTTCTGAACCCCTACTGCAGCAGTTACTGTCTCTTATCAAGGACCAGAGAACGCCTGTAGTTCTGTAAAGTTGCACTAGACAGAAATTAAATTTACCAGAAGGAGGTTTGCTTTAGGCATATGTAGGGTACAACTTCTTTTTGTAGTGAATTAAAGACTAACAGCAAGTGTCCCTTTAATTTAACAAAGGTTGTGTAGTACTCTAGATGGATCAATGTGTATTTTATATAATAAGTAATATTATGTTACTTCTTATTCATAGTGTAAATAGTACAAGACAAGCTATTTATCTAGTTTGAGTATTACTGACTAGTGTACACTGATTAGTTGTCTCCCAGCCCCTTTTCTGTTAAGGTGGGAAAGATTTCAAGGATATGAAAAGTTATGTAATCTCATAAAAAAACCAAACAATAAAAAGCTTTTTTTAATAGCTATAATAATCGAATGTCACTCTAGTGATAGTTAAAACGTACATTTTTCCTTACATTGTCTGTCATTTTTAACCCCCACACCTGAAAACTGAATCCAAGAGTACCTGGTAAAAAAAATAATTGCTGGAAGTGGGTTGTGGTGTGATTTAAATGTTTTAAATGCTTTACCAAGATACTACATGTAAAGGAGATTTTCATTATAGTGATGTTATTTCTGAGCTACAGACCTAAGCGTTGTACTTTGTGTATTACTCGATCTGAATGGGTGTGCTGTGAGTATTATGTTCTCTGTATATGAGTCTGTAATCCTTTCCCAAGCAGTGAATCTGAGAGTATTGAGCACTCAGCTGGAAGCTGCTTTCTGAAGCCTACACCGAGCAATTTATTTCTTTATTAATTTTACTACCAGGTGTTATTCCCAAATTCTCTCGCTCAGATGAAGAAAGGCCATAGAATCAAAACCTGTATTTGAAAATTTTAATACCACAGTGTTAGTGGGTTTTTTGTAAGTAAATAAATTTGGAAAACCTTGTGTCAGTGACATGTATTGTTAGTGTTTTGCAAATGCCAAATATACAGACACTGCTCTGTAAAAGCATTTATGTTCCGGTGTGTTAACACTACTAAAGGTGTAGAAGTAAAGCAGTAATTTGTATTCTAAATAGTGTATTCCGTTACTGTTGGTGAGTTTTGTTGGTTTACCAAGTCTCAGGGAACTACTGTTATGACTTCTCCAATATGGTAGTGCTTTGAGAACTAGAAGGATAAAAATACAGAGGGCATAATACAAAAACATTTGAAAGGCAGGGATTTTTAGGATTCACAGACTTCTCTTCTAGGACCTATATTTATTAGACAGGAAGAGAAATCCTTTTTATAACCTATTTTGTTTGATTTTTTTGTTGTTTGTTTAACATACCTAGGTCAGTATGAAAGAAATGCTGGCTGCTTCTAAAGATGTAACCCTTTGTACAGTCCACCTTCTCCTTTGCAAGGGGCTTGCTTTTGCACTGGCCTATGTCCATACGTACCTACAGTCATGAGGCTGGAACTCTTAATAAGACTGTGAAATGGATGTCATTTTTCCTTTTTTACTCCTATACGAACCCATAATATCACTGGGAATTTAGAACCCATAGAATATTGCGTTAAAGTATGTGTTTCTGATTCAATTGTCTGTTAAGATGCATTTAAGATCCACCATATTTAAAAAAAGGAGTTCTAATCACTGTTTGCTGTAAGTCTCAGCTGTGATTGTTTGTGAAAATAGTGAAGAAAAGGGTGTGGAATGAAAACAAGAAGGAAAAAATGTTGATTTCCCCCAACTTTCCAGTACCAAAGAGGCTACTGTAAAGGTGGAGCCAAGCTTTTTAGGAAAGTGTACAGCAAAAGAATGAGAGACAGGGATCATAAATTCAAGCAAGAAACACTTTAACTGGATATGAGGAAAACAAAATTCGCATTCTTAAAAGATGACTTTTTAATTCAGAATACCCAGAGTTGTCTTTTCCGTAAAGTAGAAAATGTTAAGTTCTACCCAAGAATAAAAAGAGAGAGGAGACAAATAATTTACCCTTAATACAAATATAGTCTGTGAATACAGAGAATGTAAAGGCAGAGCCATCATGTTATTGGTATTCCAATTGTTACCTTTCGTTTCTGTTTTTATATTTAAGTAATATCTGCTAAACTACACTCAAGAAACACCTATCTGTCTTACCTTCTCATTGTATTAGTAGGCTTAGAACTTGGTTTTTAAAGTATGTATATTGATTCTAAAGATCAAGCAGAGCTAAATGTTACTCATTGTGTCTCAGATGGATTTCTCAATGGGGCCCAAGAAGCGAATTTGCCACAGGTGTTTAAGATCTGGATGGCTGTTTACTGCAGGTTTTAAACAACTCAGCAGGTGCTAATATAAACTCTTGTTAATATGATGTTACTGTTGGTGGCAAAACATGTTTCAGGTGTAATCTGAAGGCAAAATAATTTTGTCCATTTAGAAAAAGAAAGTGCTTTATCCACTTGACGATGTCAGAGAGATCAGACTGCTAATCCCACAGTTCTTGTTCACAGACAAATTGAAATGCCATTTCTTTTTACCATGCAGATGTTTAGCCACTAAATCTATGGTTTTTTTCTAGTTGGAAAAACTTCTATGTATGTGACACATTAAAACCTTTTAACTGCATACCATTACTGAGCATTGTTTAGTCTTTAATCACCAAATCGGTATGAATTAAATTGCTTTCTTAATTGCCTAAATACCTTATATTTTTAAAAGCCTGTTTTTCAGCTGCACCCATTTATTCTTAACAGGGTAATCCTTAAAGCTGAAAGGGCTGTATTAAATTGAACATCGATGGCAAGCCTGTCATGAGGATTATAGAATTAGAACTTCTAGTGATTTAGAGAATGAGAAAACAAATAGGAGATGTTACGCACACATTTATGCATTCTTCTTAAATAAATCCTTGATTTCATTTGTTGTGTGTGTTGTAGCTTACTTGTAAGAACTGTACTAGATGAATTAGTAAAATTCTGTTAAAAAAATCTTTACAGATGTGCAACTGATTCTCTATAGAAAGCAAAGTACACTCATCTCAAACTCTTACCTACACCTACTGTCTCTATTGCCTTTGTTAATGAAGGGTAACCTCTACTTCCACTAAATCTGCAGTCAACTCGTGCCTTCGTTCTTTATGTCTGTGTAAAAATGGAGAAACTAAATTTGGACTCATTTTCTCATTCGCTTAAGTTCATGATGTTCCTTTGCATATATACATGTGCTCTGCCATGGAATTTAGCCACAGGTATCTATGTTTACTTGGAAATTTGCCACGAGACCTGTATTTTACCTATTATTTCAGAAGTAATTTTTAAAAATAATAAACTGATTCTAGCTGTTGATGCACTTAGGTTAATGCAGAACAGAGGGTCTTACCACCTTCAAGTCTAGGTTATTTCAGACCACTAAAAATTGCCGCTGCAGTTGAGCAGATAGTGAAAATATGCTACTACCTCTTTCTTTGCACAATGCACAATTTTTATGTATATCATCAATAAATCTGGATGTACTAAATTTCCTTTACTGGCAGTTAGGATTACCTTTGCTTCTATGGTCATTTTGTGTTCCAGTGGGGGTTGGGGTGAGACATTTATTTCATGTGTCTGTGTAAGAATTTGTCAGAAAGTCTTCAGGATAAAGCAGTATGCTTTAGGTTTTGCTTCAATAAAGAATTGTGGGTTTGCAACAAGGATTTTCTTTAACTTGATGGGTAAAAGAACAAATTCTGACTTTTAACATGGTGTCCAGCTATGCAGCATTTCAAAGGGATTCGTTTAGATATCTGGCCATGGGGAGCTTTGGAGGAATGAACTAAATTTAATTCTGTTCTGTTTAATCTCGGGTTGTTTTTTTTTTAATTTCAGCAAGCATTCTGAACTGGTGTTGCTAAAAATCTTAAAACTTTATGGACTGTCTTCAGATTTTCTTCTCGGCATAATTATTCGTTAAAAAATACAGCATAGGGATAGATTCCCTTTGCAGTTCTTTAGAATTTCAGACTACAGAAATTTCATTGTGTAGATTTGTTTAATTTGCAGGCAACCAGTTTAGGTAACTTTTTTCCAGTGGGTTTACATCTGCAATATTCACTTTATTTAAACATTTTACTAAAAAAAGTAACATTTTTTCTTTCTGTGGTGTCCCGTATTCACTGTTTAGATTCGAGATACTAAATCATCAGATCAGAAAACAACCCTATTACATTTTGTGGCAGAAATCTGTGAGGAGAATTACCGGGACATCTTAAAATTTCCAGATGAATTGCAGCATGTGGAGAGTGCAAGCAAAGGTAAGCAAATAGATAAACTCCTAAAGGTAATAGCTGTTGCTTTGACATTAAATACTTCCAACATTTCACTTGTAGGTCATAGGATTATGTAACCTGTCAGCATTGATGATCCAGTGGATTTGGCTTTTCTGGTATTTATTGACCTGAGAAAAAGTGAGGAGGGGAAAGACAGTGATAAAGTAACTTTTTTCTGAAGTAGATTGTGGAAATAATACAGCATGTTTCAGTTAAGTACTTAGATCACTTATGATACGTGATTTTTATGAGTGGTGATGATGGCTAGCTTATCATTAAGCCTTGGAAGTCTGGTTGCTTGAGAGTGAAGACCTATGTGTGTGCATGCGTACACACACAGCACGTGTCTCATTTTAACACTTAAATGAACCTTTGAATAGAGAATCACAAATACGCTTTCTTAGGATCCCAGATGGTATATAAAATGTACAGTTTAATTATACTATACAGTCAATGATTAATACTGATTTTATTCTTGGTCAGTCAGCAGTATGGCCTGGTGAATGTGATAGAAAACTTCATTCATATTTTGGATGTCTTTTTATGAAAAATACACTGTCCTACTTGGTGTACTTGTTGCTTAGATATCAAAAGTGAAGGCTATGTGATAGTGGCTGTTGAACACATCGCAGACTGTTTTATTTTGAGTGAGCCTTGCTGGTTCATGAGAAGATCTTTCCACATTTTCTCTTGCAGTTTTTTGTCATCTTTTTTTTCAGTGTCAGTTGGTGTCTCTCTTCAGTGCAGTGGTCAGCTGTTGGGTATTTTTTTTTAATTAGACTATTTTTTTTTTTTCAGTTTGTCATCTTCTATTTTAAACTTGGGTCTAGTGAGAGCAGAACTCTTGTTTCCCCAAGGACTTAGGTTGGCTGATGAACCATTCTCTAACTTGCTGTTGTTTCATCTCTAACTTATTCACAGATTTATGTGATTGTCTTTGTCATACTTTTTTTTTTTTTTCTGTTTCTAAAATGCCAAGTAACTTTTGATGAATATTTTTCTGCATATAAACTAAATTTTATTTGTATTGATTAAATGGCTCCATGCTTCACTTTCCTCTTTGCTGATGAATACTTGATTGGCATGAATGCCAACTGGCAAAACGGAACTGATCTATCTGTACAGAGTTGAGGATAGTATTGTGTTTTAAGGCAGTATAGAGACTGAAGAGATAACTTGTACATTACCATCCTGAATATACCATATATATATAAACATATATAGAAATAGAAGTGCATGCTTAAACAGCGTACAGCTGGCTACTTATATCTGAGGAAAGCTATGGATGTTACACAACGAATTTTTACAGTTAATATGAATTTTGCTATTTGCTCTCAATGTTGTTTGTTCCCAGCCTCTGATATGGACTCAGATAATGTCCTCAAGCTGATCCCCCCCACCCCTCAACCTTACCCTGTAAGTGTCACTGGTCTGGCCAGCATGGTCACAAGGACCTATGATAGAGTAACATAGTGATTAATTTTATTTATGCAGATAGCAGTTTGTCATCTTATTTAAATTCCGGAATTGTTTTTTACCACTTGATATTTTTATTCTGGAGGTGATTTTTTTAAGTTTAATCTTTTTGTTCCTACATCTCGTGTTAAATTCTTTACAAAGGTTTATGGTTTACTAACCACATTTGATGATCTTTTATTAATTTTATTCTGTGGCTAACACTTTACCTTGCAGCTGTGAGATTTTTGTAGTTTAATTCAAAGCCTCTGATGTTCTGCAAGTTGACTTGAGGAATTAAACCAAAAGAGTTAGTCAAGTTTAGTTAAGCTATAGCATCCAAAAGAGAGAAAGCACATTAATGGGAGCAAAGTCACGAATAATCCTGATGCTTAGAATATTCATGAAAAAGGTTTTATTGCAGCTATAATTTAATTCTGTAAGATAAAAGTTCATTACATTTCCTAAAAATAGCACTGGCTTCTTATCAGAAGCCCAAACTACTGTTCCTTTTTAATGACCAAAACTTCCCTTTCAGCCCTTCTTTTTTTTCCGTAACAAAGCAGATTTTTGGCAGAATAAACGTGTTTTGTACAACTTGCTTCAACAGTTCCCCATGGTATTTCTTGGTTTCTGTTTAATTGTAATGTTCATCTGCTCTGCCACGTGCGGTCATTTTTTGTGTGTGGGAAGTTAACATGCGTTGGGTGGAAGAGAAGACTTTCACTTCTTATTGATTGTTTGGTGTTTTATAAACCAGTGGTTTCAGAGATGGACAGTTAGGTTTATTTTTCCTGTGGGAGGCTACTTTTCAAATAAATTTGCTGACAAATATGAGGACATTGGCATCAGTTAGTTATACATAAAATAAGGAGATCTACCAGCAAATATTATCTCTGTATGAATTTTAAGTAAGCAAATATGAGCTAAATGCGTGACAGTGATTACTTCAGATGTGTGCTTCATAATTTTTAGGTGGAAGGCAGCCTCGTAGTTTGAACTATACATAAAATGCAAATACAAGACTCATCACATTCAACTTTTATTTAAATCTTGGGTGCATTTTCTCAGTTCTGCGTCAATAAAAAGGAAGTCTTGTTTTGCTTTAATTTTCATAAAAGAATAAAGAAACAGCTTTTGAGCAACAGATGATTTTTTTTAACAACTATCAGATAAAGCATAAAACTGGATTTTAATATGGAAAGGTCAATGGGATTAGATGAGCTGCCCATGCGTGTACTAAAATCTTCAATAATCTGTTATTAGGTATAATAAAGTATTTGATCTTTTTAAAGATGGAAAATCAACCTAGAGGTTTATGAAAAGTAAAAATAAATTAGGAAACAGTTTTATTCTAGAAAGTATAACCAAAGGTCAAACTGATTACCTATCGAGAGATTACTGGAAAAGCATTCCTTCTTACTTGAAGCAGATTATGTGAAAGGAAGACCAATAAAAAAATCACAAGGTTGTGACAAACTGGATTCTTTGACAGAAGTGATATTCACTTACCTTCCCCCAGTCTGCAGTGTTTTCCTCTTGGTCCTCTACTGCTGAAACTATGCAAAGCCTTTTTTTCCCTATTTCTGCCTCGTTCACTGTACTACTTATTCCAGTTGCTGGTTTTCATGGTATTTGCTCTTACCATCTTATAATCTGTGATTTTATTGAATACTTGACAAAATCCACTCTCTTTCTGCAGGTTCAGTCAAACACAACTTCAAAACAAAACCAAACATGAAGTACCTTACTGAAGTCAGATAAGTTGTAAAAAGTGTAATTTGGAATTACTTAGAAAAGATACATAGTTTTTAACTCGAAACTCTTCTGAGTGTCAAGCCTTCCAGAAATCATAAAAAAGAAATATGTAACACACAAAATTTAGAGGAGGAACATTAGCCAAGTATTTTATAATAACAACTTAATTACAGATTTCAGAAGAGCAACAGTTATAAATCACAATTCATGGATTAAACGTTGTGACGGTATTTAAAAAAAAAACCCAACCATTTATCACTTAACATTGTGTCCAGCTCCTCAGAAGTTTTACAGCGCTTGGTATAGAGGTTACCTGCTTGCTTTGTCTGCCCAAGAGTAGGAGTTACTAGGCTGTGCAGAGTCATAGGAAGTTTTGTGAGCTCGTGTTGTCCCGCTGGTGTTTACTTAAGAATCAAGTGGATATAGAAAGCTGTTATCTGTAGTTGGCCATTGGCCAGTCTGTATGTTCTCCTGGCATGTTGGAGAAGTTAAAGTTATACCTCATATGTATAGACAGAGTATGGATTTTGGGTTTAGTTGAGCAGTTAGGACTCCCAAGAACAGCTAAACTACAAGCGAGGGGCTGGGCTTGACTGTGAATGCAGTATGGATAATAAAGTCTCTTTCAGAAATAATGAGGGGTTTTTCCAGTGCTTAACATACAGAACTGTGTGCCTGGTATAAAGGTACACCACTTAATAATTCTTTTAAAGTATTGTTAAAAGAAACACATAGCATTCTGAGTAAAATCAAGTGAAAATGCCTTTGGGGGAAGAGAATTATGTCTGTGTAGTGGACTTAGAAAGTACTAATAACAGGAGCACAGATTTCTCACTCACGTTGACAGAAAATTTATTTCTTTAATTTGCAAGCATATGGTTCTGACAGTTGAGGCATCTCTCTAGAAAGGACATTAACAATCAGAAGCACTGCAGAATGCAAATATATATACTTAATATATTATTACAAAAACTATAAGAATAAGTTATTTTTTGTATTCTGAACAGGTACTTCAGTGTGATTTAATACCATAATTTTAGTTCTTTTAAAGTATAACAATATGAAACATACTCATAAGTAGTAGTCGTTTTTCTGTCAAACAAAAGTTTTATAGTTTGTTGCAGTAGAAGAAACTGCTTCTAGAAAGAGATCTGCAGTATTTTCCACCTTGTGCAGTTTCAAGTGCTGAAACAGATTTTGCCCAATCTGGCACATTAGTGGATGTAAAATAGACAATGCCTTCTGGCGTGAGAAGTTTAATGCCTGCATCTGTGACTTTTCTCTGCATAATAGAATCTGAAGTTGGTATTTTGCATTATAATCAAAAGTCAGTCTTGCTCTGTGTAGCGACTTCTATAATTCTTCTCATTCACATCAACTGCAATATTGAAATGTCAGAAGCTTTCTCCATGTGTTTTTCCTAGTGTAGTAAATACACAGTTAGGTACCTCAAATACTGGGAGACTTTTTTCTCTAGTAACACTCCTGTATTTGCATATAGCATCACCATATTGATGGCAGCTTATGCATTGCCTCATTAAAAGTTTCTTGACAGAAGTGTTCTCCTTCAATGACAAGTGTCAGTGAGGAAGACGGGGAAGTGGAAACTTCACTGATAGCTTTTGTGTTCTAGTTCCAAGGCTCAATTTCTGAAAAAGATCTGTCGGAGACTCAGTAGGATTCTAGATTGGCTTACAGTCTGCAAAATTGCTTGCTAAATTTTCCAGTCAGAAGATTTTGAGGATTTATTTAGTTGCTGTCTTCTAATGTGT